TCCAAAGTACGACTTATGGATTACAATGGCTTCCCCCCCATACCGTCCCTCCCACCCACAACCCTCCCCTTTCCCACTCCCTCTCCCCTTCCATTCACATCATGATTCATTTTCGATTATCTTAATATACAGAAGATCAGCTTAGTATACATTAAGTATGGATTTCAACAGTTTGCTCCCACACAGAAACATAAAGTGAAAAATAATAGATGATTTTTTTAAATGATGATGAAATCAGAGCAGACCTATTGTCATGTTTAATCTCAGTGAGAGTCAAGTTGGGAATTGATAATCTCTATCTCTTGAGTCAGGGTCTCTTCAGGTGGGAACAGAGGATCAGTTTAGTATGCATTAAGTAAGGATTTCAACAGTTTGCACCCCCATAGAAACACAAAGTGAAATATATTGTTTGAGTACTCGTTATAGCATTAAATCTCAATGTACAGCACATTAAGGATAGAGATCCTACATGAGGAGTAAGTGCACAGTGACTCCTGTTGTTGACTTTACCAATTGACACTCCTGTCTATGGCATCAGTAATCTCCCTATGCTCCAGTCATGAGTTTCCAAGGCTATGGAAGCCCTCTGAGTTCTCCGATTCTTATCTTGTTTAGACAAGCTCATAGTCAAAGTGGAAGTTCTCTCCTCCCTTCAGAGAAAGGTACCTCCTTCTTTGAAGACCTGTTCTTTCCACTGGGATCTCACTCGCAGAGATCTTTTGCCAGAGTGTCTTGGCTTTCCATGCCTGAAATACTCTCATGAGCTTTTCAGCCAGATCCGAATGCCTTTAGGGCTGATTCTGAGGCCAGAGTGCTATTTAGGACATCTGCCATTCTATGAGTCTGCTGAGTATCTCACTTCCCATGTTGGATCACTCTCCCCTTTATTTATTCTATCGGTTAGCGTTAGCAGGTACTAGACTTGTCTATGTGTTCTCTTTGACTCCCAGTCCCTTCACCATGACCAACTGTGAACTGAAACTGATCACCTGGAACAGTGAGATGGCATTGGTACATGCCACCTCGATGGGATTGAATTGGAATCCCCTGGTATGCTTCCAACTCCACCACTTGGGGCAAGTCAGCCTGAGCATGTCCCAAATTATACATCTCTTCCTGTAATTGATGCACAGTTATTCTTAAGTGTTGAAAATTAACTGAAATGTGATCCCTGTTGAACATGGTGGTGGGAATGGGAGAGGGAAGAGATGTATACTTTATTCTATTTTTTAAAATGTCATTATTTGAATTGAAGCCAGCGCCGTGGCTCACTAGGCTAATCCTCCGCCTAGCGGCGCCGGCACACCGGGTTCTAGTCCCGGTCGGGGCGCCGGATTCTGTCCCGGTTGCCCCTCTTCCAGGCCAGCTCTCTGCTGTGGCCAGGGAGTGCAGTGGAGGATGGCCCAGGTGCTTGGGCCCTGCACCCCATGGGAGACCAGGAAAAGCACCTGGCTCCTGGCTCCTGCCATCGGATCAGCGCGGTGCGCCGGCCGTGGCGGCCATTGGAGGGTGAACCAACGGCAAAGGAAGACCTTTCTCTCTGTCTCTCTTTCTCACTGTCCACTCTGCCTGTCAAAAAAAAAAAAAAAAAGAAAAAGAAAAAAAAAATTTTTTAAATGTCATTATTTGAATTGGGGAGAGGAGAGAGAGAGAGAGAAAATCACCCATTTACTGGCTCATTCTCCACATGCCACAACAGCTAGGGCTGCGTCATGCTGAAGCCAGGAGCTGGGAATCGAATCTAAGACTCCCATGTGGGTAGCAGGGACCCAAGTACTTGAGCCATCACTTATTGCCCCCCAGGGTGTGCATTAGCAGGAAGCTGGAGTCGGGAGTGGAGCCGGGACTTGAATTCAGGCTCTCCGAGTTGGGATGCGAATGCTCAAAGTGGGCTCTTAACCACTGTGCCAAATACCCTCCTCCTTAATTAAAAAATTTAAATGCTGATTTCGGATTTTAAAATACCCATAGAAAATACAGAAAAGTATAAAGAACAAATGTTTGGTCAAAAATATCACTGGTGGTAATTTTGACATATTTCCTTCATATGGTCAATGTCTTGACTGATTCAAATCATTTGGATCTGTATCACTGTATTTGCAGTTTTGTGTTTGGATTTTTTGCTGCTTCATATTATTTTATGAACATTTCCCAAAGGTCATGATTTATTTTTATTTTTTGAAAGCATGATTTTAATGACTGCATAATCTTCTAGTTATCTATTATGTGAGCCATTTTACTTGTTATTAAATGTATAATCTATTTTGAATTTTTCATTGGCAATAAATAATATTGTGATGAACCTTCTCGCACATAATCCTTCATCTGCATCTTTTTCTCCTGAAAGAATTAATCCACTGATCGGATTTCGATATATTTTCCTGAATTGTTTTCCAAACAGCTTGCATTGATTGCCTCATCACATCAAGGCTTTGCTATGGTGCCCACTGCACCTGATCTCTGGCCAAGACTTTGGCATTGTCAATGAAAAGAAACACTTGTCAATTTATTAGGTCAAAATTGCTTTAATTTGCTTTTATTTGATTAAAATAGACACTGAACATTCTCTCCCTCTCCCTCCTTTTTTTTTTTTTTTTTTTTTGACTGAGAGTTTGTGAGTTGTCTTCATTTCTCAGTGTGTCTTTTGGGCATTTTTCTCTCAAAGTATTAATACAAGACTTCAAAACCTTTATGGAAAATTCATATAATGTAAAAAACTTGGCATGGATGTAAACATTTTTTGCACCAAAATAAACATCTTTTAATTCCATTTTTAAGAGCTGTTTGAAGTACCCTTGTATTTTGCAAAGGGAAATATACATTTCTTTAAATATACAAAGGGTATGCACCTGCTTCGCTCTTTCTTCAAAATTTAGAAGCACAACTATGAGTATAGCCACACTTTATTACAAAAATGTTTTTAAAAATCTTATGGTTCTTAATTCCTAATAGAATTATTGTTAAGTTGGTAACCATGTACGTGCAGCCGGCTTTCACAATAATCCCACTTCTGCTTGCTCTAGTTTCAGTTAGAGTAATCTTCCCTGCGTTTTTCTCTTTCCCGCTTCCTTTTACTGTAATAAAAGTTTTAAGAGACCCAGACTTCTACTCATCTCCCTTTACTCAACTACACTTTTCGGTGGCAGCTTGCCAAGGAAACCACAGTCTGAAAAGGATCTCGTAGGAGACTCGAGGAGGGTCAATAGAAGGAGGAGTTGACAGGGGAGAAGGACGGCTTCTTGTTTATGCCGTTGAGTGAATGACCTTCCCCGTGCCAGCTCAGAGCCAGCCGCTCACTTATCCCCGGGCGCAGGAGTCCCAGGTCTCAGTCCATCTCTGCTCCATCTGCGCCACTCCTTCTCTAATGGAGACAACAATACCTCAAAGGTATGCTCTAATTAATTATCCTTAGCGACTCTGAAAATGTAATCACTCATTTTAATGATTAATTTCTTCATTTCTGTTTATAGAATTTTAATCAGATGCCAAAATTCAACACCCATATTTGGTTCTTTGTAGAGACATCTTTGCTTATTATCATTATACCTTTTTTATAATGCCTATTTTACCCCATGCTAAGTGAATTCCTCAAAATATAGAAATTTGAAAGTATTTAGAAATGGTGGAGTTCCAAGGAGAGGGAATACCAAGAAATTGATAAAACTTTTTGTCTTTATGGGTCACTGTCACACAATAATTCAAATAGCTAAAATGCTTGAGACTGTTCATTTTGAAACCATGTTAACTTCTTTTTCCTTCCATGTGAGTCATATAATCTGAGGCAGTTAGTTTGCCAGTAAATAATTACACCGAAGACTATTATAGTTTACCTGGATCTTCAGCAGGAAAGTTGTATGGGTTTAAATAACTCAACAAATGACAAGTTCTGCTCCGAGGCCCTGGCTTTTATTGTGTAGTCTGAAGTTTGAAATGAGGTGTTAATTTATAAAGATTTTTGTTAATTCCATAAATTCATGGAATTAATGTGGCTCTGTATTGACAAGAATTAAGAGTATACAGTTAGCGCTGGTTGTTTTTCTTGACTGGTAATGTTTAATTTAGTATGTGAATGTCTTATTTTTTTTTCAATTAGGTCATTGCACCTTAAGAGTAGAAGCCAAATGTTGTAGTTCCTGTAAAAACAGAGGGATTGAGGGAATGTTGGAATTGAACCCTAAGCCACTTGACTGTTTGTGTGGAACCCTGACTCAAGCTAGAACAAGCTGTGGTCTTTGGATCCCAAAGTAATTACATGCTGCCTCAGTTTCCCCATCTGTAAGTGGGAAAATGATAGATTCTCTAATTTACAAGGCTGTTCAGAAGCTCAGGGAAAGGGTGCTCCCTATGAGGGAGTGGGGAGTAAAAGCTATGTGCAAGCAAGTAAAAATACAGTTTCATTTTGCAAGGTGGTTGAATTTCCAGATGCGAGATTGTCAGTGGAGAGGTATGCTGACCTCCATTTTGACCTGGGAGATTTCGTGTGGTGATAAAAGCTGAGAATTGACTTAGCAGAGTTATTATCAGATGTTTCTGGCTCTAGGGGTCTCCTTGACCTTCACTTGGATGAGGGTCACATAACTACAATAAATATTTATTTCACCTACTTGAGATGCAGAGAGAGACAGAGACAGAGACAGAGAAAGAGACAGAGAAAGAGACAGAGACAGAGACAGAGAGAGACACACGAAGGACTTATTATCCATCTGCTGGCTGGTTCACTCCCCCAATGCCTGCTATAGCCAGGACTGAGCCAGGCCAAAACCAAGAACCTGGAACTTCGTCTGGGTCTCCTATGTGGGTGGCAGGGGCCCAAGGACTTGAGCCACCATCTTCTGCCTCCCAGGTGCGATAGCAGGAAGCTGAATCAGAAGCAGATTCTAACTTGATATAGGATGTGGTTGTACCAAGCAACGGCTGAACCGGCTATGCCACATCACCACCTGAAACCCCTTGGGTGTAGCTGTCAATTGTATCATCTCCATCAGGAGGAAAATTTCCAGCATTTATTTTCTTTGCAAAAGGCAAGTTCTGGTGGTGGAGCCAATTTATTTCTGAAACAACCTCATTTACTTGAATGAGGAGTGTGTATTTATTCTCAGGGTAAGTGATGAGGTTGTATAACTCTCATGTGACAGATGAGCCAAACACTCAGCTGTAAATTGCATTTGGCTGGAAGAAGATTCTCGGATATGAACCACATTTCTGCCGTCGCTTGCCTGCTCCTCTTAGGTTAGGGCCAGAAGCTGGGAGATTGGTGACTCTTGGATTCATCTAGAAAACAAAAAGTATTCTTTATAGAAGCCAGAGAGGGTGAGTAATATTATATATATGTTAACATATTAATGTTAATGTGTTTATATAATAAAGAAGATTTGGGGATGTGACCCGGATCCAGCATTTCCCGGGCCAGGAGACTGAGAGTGTCACAGAACGTTGTCAGTGTGGCTTGTGGTGTTAGGGTTAATTTCAAAGACCTTTTCACAACACCAGCAAGACTTCTTCCTTTGTGTTATTTTAAAGGAGGCCTTCAACTGGCTTCATTAAAGTGTCACAAAGTGGGATTATTTTTCTGTTTCTCTGAGCCTTCAGTCTCATAAAAATTAAATGTGTGCATTCCTGTAACCTGATCCCTCTCTCCAGTACAAATCAATGCTTCTCGCCCTCGTGGCTGCAGCTGCAGAGGTCTTACATCGCCCGTGTTTGTTGTGTGTGTTTGGGCACATGGTCTTCCGTCATCCATGTTTTCTGATGTTTCTTACCCTGGGTCTCAATATGTTACTGTATTCCTTTGGCCTTAAGACCATCTAAAGATTTCTGCAGGCGTGGCAAAGTTGAAAACCATCTAGTTCCTTCTCAGACTTGAACTTTCTGATCCTACATATGCCAAGTTCGAAGATCCCAAGCTTTGTGAAGGCAAATGATTTGACTTTCCTTAGGTGCAGTTGTCACTTTTCCCAACCAAAGAGAGTTGCCATGGCAATTTTCTTTCCTTAGGCAACAGTTAAATGTCAGATTCTGGGATTAGATTCCAAAGTAAAGGTTCTGAAGTTCTCTAAGATCCTACTTGGACTAGTCATTGCCTCTCAAAAGTGGGATCCACCCAACCTTTCACAGCATTTGCTGGTGAGATGCAAGGATTGTTGCCAAGATGGTGAGATGTGGGTAAACAAGTTACACTGATCCTGCTAAACCAAATTTCAGAAATGGAATTGTGTGCTCTGCTCTCGAGGCTGTGTTACAGACAAACAATGACCTGTCCCGGACCGCCCTTAGGAGAAGAGGCACCAGTCATGGTTTTGTCTCTACTTTGGCTGATGTTGTGTCCCTTATGGAACTCAGCTGTTATTCATAAAGTGCCACTTGTCTGAGAGCAGAAAGGACTCTCCTAACCTGTCGTGAGATGGATGAGCACCTGTTAAGGATTGAGGACTTCATACTACTGCCTTGCATATTGAAGATTGTGATGCAGATTAAGCAATGAGGTCCATGACTACTCTGTCCTGAGTACTAGGTCAAGTACTTTCATTGTATTGTTGAATAGATGTTATTATCTCTACTTGGGTGAAAATATAGAGGATCTGAGAAACAAACACTTGTACCCAAGATCATGTAGCTATGAAGTGGGAGTCAAGATTCACTCCAATGGGTGCCTCCTTCCTTCTCACCCTCCCTATTCCACTCTATGCATATTTTGATAAACTTGCCAAGAGAGACCACCTCCCCATCTTCTTTGGATGATGGCAAAAATATTACTGAAGTCTTAGTTCCATAGAACTTCCTCCCATCACCTGTATCAATAGAAGATCCTTGTTAGTTTAACCCAATATTATTCTTCATGTCTACAAAAACCAAATTTTAGTGACCTTTGATTTCAAAAAGTACAGTAAAAGCACAGCTCATTTCACCTAACAATAGGAAACTAAAGGTGTAGGTGGTATTGCAATCCAACTAAATGGAATTGTATCTGTGGTTATTATTAATACTCATTAGTAATTATTTTATTTATTTGAGAAGCAGAAAAAGAAAAAACAAATGAGCAGGGTAGGAACTCAAGCCAGGTCTCCCATGTGGCCATGGGGGTGGCAGGAACCTGTCACTGGAGCATCACTGATGCCTCTCAGGATCTGCACTGGGGGGAAGCTGGAGTCAGGAACTGGAGCCTGGTATTGGATCCAGCCACTCTGTTATTGGACCTGGGCATCTGAATAAGTATTTTAACTGCTAGGCCCAACATCCACCCACTAACGATGTCATATCAGTTTATTTCTTAAATGTAGTCACTCAAAGGAATGAATCCTTTCACTATTCTCCATATGACTTTTTGGAATTATAGTTGTAACAGAAAAGAGAGTAGAGATGTTTGTGAGATTAAGAACTGCTAACTTTCAGGCTCAGAGTGAATTTACAAAACACTGGCCATCCATATCCACATGCTATTGCCCATTTATCTGGAAAAGCTCTTATCCAAGATGCATTTGTGGTGGGGATGTATCGTGATGCATCATTTATGTAGTGCCTTAAGTGTTTGTTTTGTAGCAGAAGCGAGAGACAAAGCGAAAGAATCCTGCCCAAAGACCTTCCTGGCTAGGGACACATTTGCTCTTGTGTCAAGGCACTCTATCCAAGAGGAAGTTTTTCTTAACTCATTCACTGCTTGAGAGCTGAAGTTCAGGTTTCCTTTAACATGGAGATAACCTCAAACACAGAATTTTATGGTCACTTCCAATAGCTATAGAAGTGGATGGGATATGGGATCAGAGGTGTTGATTATCACTGAGTTCCTTTTAAAAGAGGGAGTTGGGGATGAGTGGCTGAGACAGCTAGATCCCCAACTTTATATCATTTTTGTTTTACTTTTATATTGAAAAATTTTTCTTACTTGATAAGCGTTAATTCATTTTTCTCTTAAAACTAATGTCATATATATTTATCAATTAGAAACCATGATAAACATGAGATTATTGACACTGCCATGTTGAATGAAAATGATTGCAGCTAACAGTAAAGAGAGTTGACATTTTAGTTGATATGTGACACTTTTTTGATGTGAATGACCAAATGTTTAAATGTGTGTTAAGCTTTTGAAAATTCTGGAAAGAGAACTGATCTCTCTTATGACTTTCACAGACTTTCCAGGAATCCAGAGACCCCCAAGTGGGGGAGAAACTGGGTTTAGTGATTGCCATCAATTCCCACCTAATTCTACCATTCTGGGATTTGTGAATGCCATTAAACCCAATAGAGTCGACCAGTTACAATCTACTCCCAACAGTGAGTTTCAAAATTCAGATCCAACATTTTGTGATGTGGTGGAAGAGGTAAATAAAGATACTCCCAAGACTTGGACAGCTGGGTAAGGATTGGAAATAGCTGTTCTTTGTTGTGCTCCACAAATTTCCTTGGTAAACAACCCAAAGCAGCAGTATTGACTCTGTCATCCTTGACCACAGACAGATCTCCCTGACTGTGATTAAAATAAAAAGCAAAAACAAAAACAAGACCCTTTCTGTGATGCTGTATCTCCACGTCCTGAACGGACCTTGCACCATCCTCTTTCTCCTGGGCTCCACGTTGCAGCCATAATGAGCTAAAAACCCAAAGCTGACCGTATCAAACCTCTCTTGGGTCTCAACTACCCATAGGATAAAATCTAATCTTCTTGGCTTGATGTATAAGGTTTTTCGTAATATGACCCTAATCTATCTCTGATTCCTCCCCTGCATACTTTATGGACCTGCTCTACTGATTTTCTCATCATTCTTGCAAGCTACCAGACCTTTCATAAACTCCTGACTTTGCACATGCTATTCTACTAACTCAAATGTTCTCTCTGCTCAAACTCTGTTGGATAAGTTCCTATAATATCCAGTTATTATAATAGCATTAGTTATGTACCAGATATTCATTTAGTCCTTACAGTGAAGTGATTGCCATTATCAGTCCCACTTTGCAGAGGGAAAACCTGACCTTGGAGAGGTTAAGTAGATTTCCCAAGGTCATATAGCTAATGAGTGATGGAATCAGGAGTTGCACCTGTGCAGCCCATCACTTCTGGATCTATATCTCAGTGTTACCCTGCCTGTTCCCTAAGATGCTGCCTCCAAAGACAAACTTGGTCCTAAATCCCTCAAGTCCCACTTCTCAAGTTCTTTCAGATTCTCAAATTGCTTTCTAAGGTATCCTTGGACTAATGTTTAGCAAGCTGCATTATCAGTTCTCTTTCTCTGTGTGTGGTTTGTAGTGTCAGTCATTTTGAGTGTCCGTCATCTTTGTATGCCAAGGTCCTAGCAAATGCCACCTGGTAAATACTGAGTAGCTATTTCTTGAATGAGTGAATGAACACACACAGAAGGGTCAGGGTCCTCTTTGGTTCCTAGATGTACTCTGAGATACCATTGGCAAATGCTCGCTTCTACTAGACTTAACCTGTCTCAGGGGTGCAAAACATTCCAATAGGAAGACTCCAAGCCCCCAGTGGTCATCTCCACGTGACAGCAAATCACTGCCAAACCTTGCAGAGATGCCCGTGAATTCTGCTGAGTATCCATGTAGCACTCCAGCCCGACAACGTTGATTTGTGTAAGTATAGGTTTGGTGTTCTGTGAGAGCTCACCATCTGCTTAAGTTGTGTTTACTCTAAGTACCAGTCAGCGTTTTCCCGACAAGTTATAGAAAAATGGTAGTTCAACTTAATTTTTAAGCGAGGCCTGTTTAAGAATAATTTGTTAATTACTAGTTGGTTGATTCCGTTTCCTTAAATTAAGGGCTTCAGTTAATATCACATGCTTACTGCCAGCTAACCGGGAGGCGCTGCAGTGGTGTGCACAGTTGCAAGATGTACTGCTGCTCTGTTCTCTTTGCCAGCCTTTGCCCTGGCCTTGAAATTCATCTTTAGCTAATTTTACAAGCCTGGAAAGTCACCCACTGGTTTACTTTCCTTAGGACTGCAAGTTGGAAGTTTAATTCAGTAATCACCTATAAAACCATTTAGGCAGACATTGGTTATTGGACTTCAGTCTGATGGGGCACACAGAGACATGAGATCAGGGCTGAATTTTCAAAATATGGGAGAACTGGAGTTTGTTGCCTTTGGACAGCAAGTGTTTTATCATCTGCACACAAGACAAGACCCAAGACTTGTCGTGAGGGGATTTGGAGTCCAGTGTTTTTTGTTTTTTGGTTTTTGGGTTTTTTTGGGGGGGAGGGGTGGAGCTTTCAAGAAAGGAAATACTTGGCTGCCTATTAACCAGTATTAGGTCCAAGGAGACTGGCTGTGGCCATCAGAAGAAAACACACTGAGGTTGGGTGCATGCGGAGATGTAATGGCTTTGTAAATGCTTTGGTTTCAATAAAAGCCCAAATGTATTTTATCAATGCATTTCCCCCTTAATTTTTAGACCCTTGTGTATCTCAAGGGAAATTTGGTCCATATGTTTTTGATTCATTTATATTTAACTCATCAAAATGTTGTTTTCTAAGAGTTATTTGATGTCCAAGAAGATTTTAGAGCTTGAATTAAATACCTTCCAAAGTGTTTCCCCTTTGCTTTTTAAAAATAGAACGCCATCCACTCTTGGCAACCCCAGACGCACACACACCAAAAGTTTGCATTTGGTTGAAAGCTCCAGGCCTATAAGTTGTCAAGCTGAGCCAAATGCATTCTCCAGCTCCAGCTCATGTGTGAGCTGTTACTCTAAAGTACAGAGAGATCTGTACCTTCATCCCTAGTGGCTGTCCACATGGAAAGAAACCTTAACACATAAAATGCCTGCAGTTCGCTGCATCTTTGATCTTGGGAAAACCACTTCACCTGACCTCAGATTCCATCTGTGAAATTGGGTGATATTTATTTTGCCTACATCCCTGAGTTATTGAGAGGATTTAAAGAGTTAATATGAAAGCACTTTGGAATACACAAATAGCACCACATCTCTTTTCCTGATGTTATTTTTTTAGCGAAATAATAAATACTCAACCTGGAGTGATGATTTGTTGTATGCTAGGCATTATGTCAAACATTTTATTTTATTTAAGTTATTGTCTTGTGTCATACTCACCGTACTTTTGCTCTTAAAGTTTGTAGCTGGAAAGCTAGAATAGAAATCCAGTCCATTATGGGTCTCAACCACTAAGTTGTATAGTAAGTGGTTGAAGCCATATTAATCATTGTAACGTGGTGACTCAATATCAGAGTTTATCTTGAGTCAGTGACAGTCAGAACTGAGTCTCTCTGTATCACTGAGATCGCTTAGTCATGTTTTCTCTTCATTCTCTCATTGAATAATTCAAGTGAGTGCATATATAAAATATGCTATTTGCATATATGCAGAATAAAAGATTGTTCATGACCAAGGGCAGGAATAGAAGCTAATTTTCACGGAATACTGACTTTAGATCTGACACGACAGAGCTCTTCATGTGCTTTATCTCATTGAATCCTCACAACGCAGTACAAGGTAGACACTGTTATTGTCAAGAGCTGTGAAGAGCTGAGATGGTCCCTAACTTGCAAGCTCATTAGCCTGCCAGTTTCGTGGATGCTAACACAAGATATGAGAATTCTGGGTCAGAGGCAAAGTTCTCTATCATGCACAGCCAGCAAACAGCATCAGTGTTGGGTTTATCCCAGTTCTCCTTGTCCCCAGTCCCTAGGAGAGTGATACACAGTGGCCCGGTTGGACTTTGAGTATGCAATGGGTTTGCATTATGGCTAAGCAGCTCCAAGCTCTCTCTTCTAATGAGGTGAGCAAATGTGCCTGATCTTTGCTCTGGAAGGAGATGTTATCTTTCTTATAAGCAAATCTACTGTGCTCCAGGGGGCCGCACTGAGTCTGTCTTCTCCAACTTCTCCCTATACAGATGCATTTGAAAAGGTTACATATGCGAGGGCCAGAGTCCCATGGAGCATGGACTTCCAATGTCATTCTTTCCGTTTCACAGAAAAAGACTCTGCGCCTAGAGCAGTGATGCTATTCATTCATTCTAGAAATAGTTATTGTGCACCTGTATATGTTAAGCTCACATAGCTAAAAAGCGGAGGGGAACGGGGCCAATGCAGGCTCTAACTCGTGACCTTCTCCACCTACCCCCTCATCTCCTTAACCATTATTACCTCTTCATCCCCACCGAATGATTGACCGTGTAAAACCACAGTCCACTTCAGTGGGACCAGTGTTTCTCCTGTTATCAGCTTCTCCCTCTGCAGCTTGATGCAGCCTGGGTGCCCAGATGCAGGGGTGGTATCGGCAGATCCTGACAAAGTCAGAACAGGATTTGGTAGTGTGCAGAAGACAATGGGGCTAGCTGATTTGAAAGTTGAGTTAGACATGTGTAATGTGATGGAAATTTTCTTTTTATAACTTGGAAATCATTTGGTGTCTGTACAAAATTCAGAAGATTCTTTTCCCTTGCGGTCTCTCCATGTATTTATTATTATTATTATTTGACAGGTACAGTCATAGACATTGAGAGAGAGAAAGACAGAGAGGTTTTCCTTCCGTTGGTTCATTCTGCAAATGGCCGCTATGGCCAGTGTTATGCCGATCCGAAGCCAGGAACCAGGTACTTCTTCCTGGTCTCCCATGTGGGTGCAGGGGCCCAAGCACCTGGGCCATTCTCCACTGCCTTCCTGGGCCACAGCAGAGAGCTGGACTGGAAGAGGAGCAACCGAGACTAGAACCCGGCACCCATATGGAATGCCGGTGGCACAGGCAAAGGATTAATCAAGTGAGCCACAGTGCCGGCCCCCTCTCCATGTATTAAACAGCCCTGTTTTATGTTTGTATATGGTATCATTCAATGACTTTGTGAAGATATTGGTGATGCCCATGCTAGCTTGTGGGATTCCTGGTGCCCTGTGCTTGAATCAACCTGTTAAAATCGTTCCTAGTTGGGAAGTGGGAACCTGAGAACGGGCTGTATATTCTTTCCTTTCCCAACCAGGTCCAACTGAGGGAGCCAGGTCAACTGTTTTCCTGGGAGACTCTAAGGGTGGAGATGGGATGATGAAGAGAGCTGATGGCTGGAGAATCTGCCATTAGATTCTGGGAAGGAAACAAAGTGGAACTTCGTGGAACATTGCCCCTTTCAACAGAGTTAGGAAGAGAAAGAGCCTTCCATGGGCTTCTCTCCAGTGGGGAAGAAGCTGTACCTTTAAAAAAAAAAAAGTGGAGGGAAGAAGCCCTACGTGCTGGTATTGAGCACAACACTGTGAGAAATTCTCTGCTACTGGCCTGCCTTGCCCCCGAAACACCTGAAGCTATTGGCGTTGCTTCCTGAGCTCATTTCAGCCTCCCCTGGTGCCAAAGAGAAAATCTAATTAGTGAATAATTTGAAGGAAAGAATTTTTGTGGGAACTCTTTCACCCCAAAACCACAGCACAGTGAGGCTGTGACTGCTTGTGGACTATAACTACCGTGGGCTTCTTCCAAGTCTTAAATGCACACAGGAATGATGGTTTATATACGTACTCTCTGTGTTGGAACCAGCTTCATCCAGAGCATGTGATTCCAGATGAAATCTTGCAAAAGAGTTTTTGTTTCCAGATGGGTTCTTCTCCGGTTGTAGACGAGGCTACAGAAGGGGGACGTTACTTTGTGCACCTTAACAATGAAACCAGGTAGAGAAAGAAAATCAGATTCTTTAGAGCAAAGCCTTATTGAAGAGCAAAACGTGGGCCCCAGGAGCCAGTATTCTCCCAATATAGGAGGGGACTTCAAAAAAGTTTGTGGAAAAATGGAATGAAAAATAGGTTTACTTTGAAATCTCTGCACACCAAAAGTCTTTCAAAAGTTCATGGAAAGAGTGGATAATGAAAATGCTGCTATGCATGGATTTCAACAGATTTTTGGACCAAAAGACACTTATTTGTAAATTCCATTTTCTACCAACTTTTCGAAGCACCCTATGCTTAAGAAGGTGGAGGAATGCTTGCGATGTTCCTTAGGATCGCCAAGACCACTCACAGCCGTGGCAAAGCAACCTCAACAGCAAAACCCAACACAAACCCAGCAAAGAACGTGGGAAGTGTTCCCTCCATTAGGAGTTGGTTTGGGTCCTTCTTCCCAGGGGAAGCCCCTGCCCTGCAGCCGGGACCTCTTTGCTGGAGTGAGCTGTTCAAGATACCCACAAGCACATGTAGCACCAGGGGAACCTTCGGAGCCGTCCACGTGCCCATCCACTTTGTTCCCTTTGACGGTTCTGCCCACAGTTTACTTGTTGTTGCTTTGGGTGGATCTGTTTATTTTGGGTTCCCTCCTCCCTGGCCCTGGCCCCCAGCTCCAGGAAGCTGTACACAAACTGGAGCATTTGGGGCTAACTTGGCAGGATGATGTGGCTGCTGGCAGCTTCCAAAATATGACACAGTGAAAATATGAACCAAATGTTCTTCATATGCTGGAGTGTGGAGACTTCATCACTCCTCCCTCCAAGAGCAGAGAGCGTGAAAGAGTCAGACCCTCTGGGTATCTGTCCCAGCTCTGCCTCTTGCTAGCTGGGTGACATTTCTGAGCCCGAGTCTTTATCTCTAACATAGCAATCATCTTACCCTCTTTGCAAAGTGCTGCTGGGATTAAAGAAAAGTCATTTGTTGAGAGCCTACTACCTGCCAAAGAGTATGTGGTGAAGGAATGCCTCTACTGAACCTGAAACTCAAAGTCATTTCCGTTCTCACCTGGGCTGTGCGCTGCTGACTGTCTGGGCTTGAATCCTGACTCTGTCCCTTGCTAGATCTCCAACCTTGGGCAAGTTCCTGACCTCTCAGCTGGAAAGTGGAGCTCATGACATCACCTACCTCACAGAGTTCTTGTGAAAACTGAATAAGGGAATGCATGCAGCATAGGACTTAGAGACACTCCATGGGTGTTGGCAACTGTTATTACTGAATTTATAAGCCCAATGCCCGTCACATGTAGTTGGTCTTTCTTAACCACAGATCCCCTGTCTACAGCTTAAATCAACCATAGACAGAAAATATCTAGAAAAAATCGCATCTGTACAGAATGTGGACAGAATACCTTCTCTGGTTAGTCCCTAAATAATATAGTATAATAATAATGATTTTCATAGCATTTATATTGTATTAGGTGCTATAATAATCTGAAGATGATATAAAGTAAATGAGAGGAGTGGACCACATGCAGATACTACACCATTCTATATAGGGAGATTGGGTCTTCTAGGATTTTGGTATCCATGGAGTCCTGGAACTCATTTCCTGCAGATACTAAGGGACAAAAGCACTAAATTCCCTTGATCACTCACCAGAGGTGGTCTTTTCAAGTTTTTCTGTTTTTTTTTTTTTCCTGGAAATTACTGCTAAACTTTCAATAATATGCTCATAGCTATGTTTCTTTGGCAATTTACAACATCTATGAGTATATGGAAGGTCTTCAATAAGTTCATGAAAATATTATGAAAATTATGCACAGATTTCAACATTTTTGGCACCAAAGTGAGCTCATCTTTTAATTCTATTTTCCAAAAATGTTTGGTGGTACCCTAGTATTATATCTCCACTGTTAAAGACTCCGTTGAATGACTCTGATTCTTCTCTATCCCCTTGCCTCCTCTCAAGGATCCCTTGCTAGTCTTACTCCCTCTGTTGGGTATTTGAGGTCCTGTTGTTTGAATATGATTTGGCTCCTGAACTCATGCTGGACTTTAAACCACCAAGTCATAAATCACAGGTATGAAGAGGGTAGAAACCTAATCAAATTATGGTGGTTACAGCTGAGCCTTTTGGAATATTCAGGTCTCTGGAGGTGTATCCCTGGAAGGTGATTCTTCTGAGAGGGTTGGTTATAAAAACCGGAGTTGAGCCCAGCCTCTCTGCCACGTGACCCTACTGTGTACATGGTGCACCTGCACCAAGTCCTCCATCAATCAGACCACCTGATCATAGGCTTGAACCTCCAGAACCATGAGCCAAAATAAACCTTTTCTCTTAGGAAGTTGTCTCCGGTATTTCATTGTCATAAGGAAAAGGAGACTTACATGTTGGGGTGTATGGGATATGTACACCGTAGAATACTACATAGCAGTTAAAAAAATGAAATCCTGTCATTTGCAACAAAATGAATGCAACTGAAAAACATAGTGAAATAAGCCAGTCACCAATGGACAAATACCATATGTTTTCCCTGATCTGTGGTAACTAATTGAGCACCTAAAAGGTGATCTACGTAAGTGAAAGTGACACTTTGAGATGCAATGAAATTGAACAGTCCTTGTCTCAACTGTTGAAGAACAGTTTTTTCATACTATTTGTTGAGCTCTATACTTAGTATAGAGTTCATTTTATGTGTATAAAGTTAATTAAAATAGATCTTAGTAAAAAATAAGAATGGGAATAGGAGAGGGAGAAGGAAGAAGGTGGAAGTGTGGGTGGGAAGGCAGATAGGGTGGGAAGAATCACCATGTTCCTAAAGTTGTATTTATGAAATGCATGAAGCTTTATATGGCTTAAATAAGAAGTTTCTAGGGGGAAAAGCCTATGGAAAATAGAATTAAAAGATAAGTTTATTTTGCTGCAAGAAAACAAAAATCCACGCATAATTTTTTCAGATCATGCATTTTCCTTCAACTTTTTGAAGATCCCTTGTGTGTGTGGTTCTCACATTTTTGCATGACCCTAAAGCTAGCTTTAATGCCATCTTGGCAGACTCTTTGAAGTCCTCTGATACTCATCAACTTTCTTATTGAGTCCCAGCTCTCAACTGTGTTGCTTGAGATGAAAGCCTCAGTCTCTTAGGATCCTTTCCCTCCCCTACTCCCGTCCACTGCCTTTTCCAGCTCCAGAGTTACTCTGGTTATTCAGGTGATTTACTTTTATGTTTTATTTTGCAACCTCATCTGCATCCTCTGTGCATTTGGTTAACTCTAACAGTGGAACACCAACAAATAGCATTGATATCCTCACCCCTATAAGCCCCAGTTGGAACATGTTCTGGGCATTCTCTCCAGTGCTGTCTGGAGAGGTGCCCATCCCTTCTGATGGGTGCACTACCTCAATAAGCTTTGCTACCTTGCTGACCACTCCTCTCTGTCTAGTGTCTGAAATTCTTTTCTTATGGGAAGACAGGAACCTTTATTCCAGTCATTTCTGCTGACATGATGACTATGCAATTTTTGTCTATTATTCAGCCAAATAACATATTAGGATTCTTCTCTAGGGACTTACTGCTATAACCAAAGAACTTCTCAAAAAGGAATATGCCTAGCATCACAGTCAAATTGATTAACTTTGTTTTAAAGAAAAGATTTATTTATTTATTCATTTATTTATTTGAAAGGTGGAGTTAACAGAGGCAGAGAGAGAGAGAGAGAGAGAGAGAGAGATCTTCCTTCTGCTGGTCTACTCCCCAAATGGCTGCAATGGCCGGAGTTGGGCAGATCTTAAGCCAGAAGCCAGAGGCTTCTGGGTCTCCCGTGCAGGTGCAGGGGCCCAAGCACTTGGGCCATCTTCCATGCTTTCCCAGTCCATCAACAGGGAGCTGGATCAGAAATGGAGTAGCTGGGACTAGGTCGGGTGTCCATATGGGATGCTGGCAATGCACCACAGTGCTAACCCCAACTTTTTAAAGACTTCATTGTTTGCTCAAAATTGTTTGACTAGGGTTGAGAACTCTGTTTTTCCTTTAAAAAGTTCCTTGCCAACCTTTCCTCTAATTTTTTCCTTGCCTTTTTTCCTCATCTTCCTCCTACCCTTCACTTCCCCATGAAAATCAAATACTGCTGTCTTCCTACACTTAGGGACTGTGAACATTGAAAGAGCTGGTCTGGGAGGTGAACTCGGTCAATGACGAGACTGACTCTTCAGCCTGCCTTTGGATCCCTGGAATGAAATCTTCTGTGCTCGCAATTGTCAGAGAGGCTGTGATTTTGCGGAGTCAGTAGATATTGCCGATGTTTTAATTTTCCTTTTATTTGTTCCCAATCTTTTCTGCACAAAGGAGAATGTCAGTGTAATAGATGCTGTTTGATGGCTCCTGTTGTGACTGATAATGATGATTCTGATGCTTTCTGTTGGACCAAGATCATCAGAAGCCCAAGGGTATTTATAACATGCCTAGCTGGGTTTTAAATCAATTAGTGGGTATCTGAGGGTTTTACATAATGCATCACTGGAAACAGCTACTGAGGAAAGAGCCTGGAAAATCTCAAAAATTATCCCAGCTCCGCAGAGTGATACCTGCTGTTTTAAACTACCATTCTGTTCCTTGGTTTGTGTATTATGTGAAATATGGAAATAGGGAATTTATCAAGCTTGTAATTTCTCATGCTGAAGAAAATATGCCACTGAGAAAGGCCAGCATGGGTTTAGAAAAGAGTACTTGTGGCAACTCCAGTGGTCAGTGTTACATTATAATTTCCCATGGGTACCACAGGAGTCGCACTCACATGGCCAGATGGTGCACGTCACCCCCACTTTGCAGCTTTCCATGTCTGTTCAGGGTCTTGGGTGGGAGAAGGTATCGTGGGCAGCAGGAGATGACCACTGGCTCTCTAGATTCATCTCAAGTCTTGGAAAAATGTAGAGAATGAGTTATAACATACATTCTCCGCAGTCAATGTCTTTAAAACAATGATTTTTGGTCTGACT